AGGTGGTTGTTGTTGGTAATTTTAACTGGATTTTACCCGACGTAAACGAAAGTGCAATCAAACGAGGCTTAGGCGAATAAAGCCGAGTGGTGTAAAAACGAAGAGGGAAACTTTTTTTCAAGAAAAACACGGTCGCCACAAAGGCACGTAACGTACAGTTGAGAAGGTCGAAAGACGTCGAGTGAAAAGGAAAAAAAATTCCAAGAGCGAGATATGAAGGATACGCGAGAGATAGAAAGAGGAGAAGGAGCCGGTACCCGTGTAATATCCGGTGGGTAACGACCAGGTTCTTCTCATCCCTTATCTCTGTCGTGTGGGTGTTGTGTACTCTCCTTCTTATCTGGAGCAGATCTTTCTCTCCCTGCCGCCGCGGTTTATCTAGGCAAGGGTTCAGGGGGGAGAGAAAGGGATTGCCGAAACAGCTAGGCATCTGTCCTCCACGAGAGAGAGAGAGAGAGAGAGAGAGAGAGGAGATAACGAAGCGACGCTACTCGGAGGGGGTTGTCGCGCGCGCTCCTGCGGAACTAATTTCCCGCGACCCTCTGTAATTCCGGCTTGTTTGCGTCGTTGTTGTGTTTTCGAGCTACAGAAGCCAAAGCGCAATGTTTTTCTCCACAACCCCTTAATGATAAGGATCGCATGCGATGTGATTCAGAGCCCGGTGGGGGTGTATTTATTGAAAAATCCGTCAGCAGAGCTTCGTTAGCGGCATCATCGAGAAGGGCCCCTCGATCGTGTTCATGCCGGGAGAGCGAGAGAGAGATGGTCTCGCTCTATTTACACGAGGGGGAAGACTCCCTTCGTAGCAAACAGGCGATAATTCACAGCCTCCCTCTTTCTCCTCTGTTGGACGCAGTAAGTTATTCCTTGGCCGAAAAAGAGCCGGGCAGGGAGTCCATGAAGATGGGCACGGACGGAGGAAGGGGATCGGGATTATCGATTCGCGAGAATAAGGGCGAACGGGGAGAAAAGACGCGCCGACGAGACACTCGAGAGATGGAAAGAGGGGGTCGAGTTTTAAAAAAAAATGCTCTTTGTCACCCCCCCCCCCCTTCCATTCTTTTGGCACCGGAAGCGCCTTTGTCGAATCATGTGTAAAAAGGAGCGCTACGCGCCGCTTTATGTATTTTTCTCCGAGGCACTGGGTACTATGAGAACTCTCCTTCTCTCTCTTACAGAAGCAACGGTACAGGAAGGGGCACGATAAGCTCGGGAAAAATTAATTATCGGGCCATAAAAATGACGTATACCTACACGCTGTGTATACCATACTACAGCCTACTTTTCGCGTTTAGCCAATATCACCGGGGGATCGCGTAAAGAGAGCCCTCCTCGAGCCTCTCGTACATGCAAGCTCGCATGCCCAGCTCTGCCCCCTGTGCCAACGCAAATTTGAATAAAAAGGGCGTAAATATTTCGGTAATGAAATAAATTGTTACTAATTAATTTCCCTTCGAGATTCATTGCTTTATAAGTACATGTACGAGAACACGAAGGGCGGAGGAGCGTAATCATACATAAAGGAGGGTTCAGAGTTGCCCTTTTTTCTTCCGTGAGGGGACGATTTTCACGTGATACGCGGTAGTTTAGCGAGGGAAATTTATTTGAAACGAAAAAGCTCGTGGTTGTACGAAAAAAAAAAAAAAAAAAAAAAAAATTGCGGGTCAACAAACGATCATGTGTACATGTACCACGCATGCATCGAAAAAGTTGGGCACTTTTGGAATGTCTTTGTCGAGAGCCAAAAAGGGAGACGAAGGAAAAAAAAATCAAGCTGGAAAATAAATACCGATTTCATACCGATGCAGCTACGCACGACCACCTCGAGGGGAAAGATCACCGGGGATCCGACCTCCCCCCGACCATGCAGGCGCGACATTGTATATCTCTTTCTTCTTCTCTCGCGCCTCACTTGGTTTCTTTTCTTCGGAGTTTAAGTCCTCCTCCATCTCATCCTGTCTAGCTTATTCTGCTTTCGGTCCGTCCTCCTCTGTACTGCATGCGGGTGTCCATGTGGGGGCTGATAAAAGTTGGGGACTCGCGATCGTACGGAAGATTTGCTGGGAGATCTGGCGCTAGCGAAGAGAGCACAAGTCAAGCTGATGCAAGCTTTGTCGAGCTGAATCGTTTCTTTTCTGTGTGTCTCTGAGACCTTGTACCAGCGGAAGTTTTGTCTGGAAACAAGGTCACAGGAATTTCGATGTCACGGCGAAAAATGCGACGAACGAAAATTACGATGTATTTTTCCACGCAGTGACATACGTATGCACCTGTTAATTGCCCAAGCGCGTCGTGAAGCAAGAAAAATATAGTACTACTCTGCGCTGAAATTATCGTTTCTGCCATGCGTATATACACATACGGCGCAAACGAAAAAACCGATGCACCAGCGTGTCGCGCGCAATTAACCCCCACAGCCTTGTTGTATACGCTGCGGAACAACTTGCGAATTGCGAGCGTTTCTATATATACATATGGGCACTTGTCGCTCGTAAAGTCTCTCATCGGGAATAATAAACAGCGGAATTAATTGTCCGTACAATGTAAATCCTTCCCCAAACGAGTGCGCACGTATACGTACTTTTTCTCTCTTTTCCAATTAATCACCCAGGCTGATGATATTTTCCCCAAACGATACCTCTCCCTCATTACCGCCTCTGTTCCTCTATCTCCCAACTCCCCACTTTCGCTGTGTTGTTTTATTATTATTATTATTATTATTATTTTTTTTTTTAACTAAAAGCAACGTAGCATACGTACGAAAATTTGCGAGCACGGGGGGACAAACTTTTATGCAAATTGCGTGGGGCCGTTTGAAGCTGGTCCCTGGAAATTACAGACGACGGCGCAGCAGGCATTATCATTTAGTCGTTCTCTCTACTCGCAATAAAAGCATGAAAGGGCTGGGTGTACGTATGTGCGCGTACATAAAGGTGCACTCGTCGAGAGATACCTGGTATACTATTTTCTTTGGCGTACGCGAGCTATTTTTTTTTTTTTTTTCCTCCGAAGAATAAAGTTTGCAGCTTCTGCTGACGCTTTTCTTTATTATTTCTGGGTGAGGAGAAAGAGAGGTGTAACTGTTAATTTTTACGGCTGAAGCCGGGTAAACTTTGGTTGTCCTTTATGAGTTGCAGTTTCGGCAATTTTTTGGTGTTTTTTTTTTTCCTCCCATGCACGATGCAGGACGGTTTTTACAAAAAATGTAATTTTCAATTTTACTATACGGAAACGCACTTTGCGTAATTTTTAAACGCCCTCATCGTATTCAAAACGCGCGTCACGTTGTGTCAAAACAGAGCATTTTAATGTATTTGCATATGTGCTTTTTTCGGCACAAAATGGAGATGAGCTCAATATACAATATGATGTTGGTGAGCTGCAGGCGAGGATAAACTTTTTTTTTTTCAAGGTACGAGCAATAAATTGTCATTAGAATATCGATACGATGACTTACGACCCAGCACGTCTATAGGTACGGTTTGAGGGGCGTATCAATGAGGGTATACGCGCGTGATTAGATTAGCCGATGATACAGGTGTATAACGTACACGCAGTGAAGTCATCATCGCCCGTTTATCTTGCATGTGAAAAGGAAAGGTTTAACGGGTCCTCGCGTAGCACACCATTTTCTTTCGTCCATCACCTAGGGGAAAAAAAAAAAAAAAAATATCAACATCGAAAACAAAACCACAAGAGCACTGGAGCATGATTTATCACTACCTCGTGCCCTTCAACTCTCTAGCTGATACAGGTATTTTTACCTCGATTTTTACTATAGCAGTACATTTGCATGGAAGCCACTGCTGCCACTACACGTTGTTCCGCAGTGCACCTTGACTTTTTTTCGCACCCCTATCAAGCTTATATACATGAACATATCGCACACATTTTCCTTCCCCACCCTCGTTTGCCAAACCACTGGTATGTGTTGTGCAACACCTCGAAGACGAATCACGGGTAATCTTCGTTCGACCTTGCCGAAATCGAGCTGTCGTGAATTTATACGCGCACGCGCTTTTGAAAGGCTACGAATTTCGTGCTTTTTTCCCTTGCTCGTAAGGATCACTTTTCTGTTAAATATTCGATCACCGAAACATATGAAACGAATAAATAAATAAAATAAATAAATAAAGTAATAACAATTACTTACTTCTTACGTTAAGTGTCTCAAGAGTCGTACAATTTTCGCCGAGCAAACGCGCCCTACTAACCCAGTGCGGTGATGTAGCGGGGGGGGAGACGGCCCGCATGGCCCATCCGTCTCCCTCAGTCAGCCCGACAAAGCCACACACACACACACACGGAGACACACGGCTCGGGAGCGCTTTAATGATGGAAATCGAGTTGCGGCAGCTTGTACGAGAATATGAGATGCCAAGGGAGAGAAGGCAAACGAAACGAGGGTGCCACGCGTCAACTCGTACAAACGCGCAGTTATACACCCCAGAGAAGGGAAACGGAGGCCGGGGGTCAAAGGCCTCTGTTATACCGTTATATATATGTATTAGTAGGTATACACATGGGCACAGGAGCAAATTGTGCGCTCGTCCCTCCCCCCCCATTCCCTTCTAGCGTTAATAGGTAATAACCGAGAGCGACGTTGGAAATTACAGTCCGTGAGTGCATGCGTTTAAGAAAGGAAGGATCTCTCTCTCTCTCTCTCTCTCTCTCTCTCGTAGAATCAAGTATAAAGAATGCGCGCGAAAGAAAGGGTTTTCCTGGTTGGCCGTACAATGAGTTTTTGGCGGAGCTCTGTAATTTTCACACTCGACAGCGTTATACGTGTAATATGCAGTTAAGGTACTTGGAGAATTTCATTAGTTCATCGCTGGGTTGTACGAGTCGCTGCCGCCGGATTTCTATTTACTTAAAAGTTGACGAGGCATAGTGTGTGCATTTGATGGAACCGTGTGTACGTACCGTCACGTGAATACCCGTGTTGTGTTACGGACTTCGATGCCTGAAAGAAGAAAAAAGAAAAAGTTTCGTGTCCTTACCTCGACGAGGGTGATCAGGATGATGAAGAGGGGCGGCGGACAGCACGTGTAGTGATCGGCGTAGTACTTTCGATCGCGCTCCTCCGTCAGGAACTCGTCGCCTATCATCCGGACCATCCTGTTGACAGAGTACAGATATTATTATCATTGGGATTTTTAAATTTATTTTTACATCAAAAAATAATTTAGAATCCACCTGAATCGCAATTCCTCGAGTAGTTCGAGTTTACTAAAATTACTAGCTCACTGATGTACACAAACAACAAGGGCCACAAAAGTGAAAAAAAAAAAAAAAAAAAAAAAGGGAATAACGGTTTTTCCGCGCGGTGACGGTACCCAAGAAAATTGCATTCCGCTTAGTTGTCTCACTTCATTTCCGTATAATTTTGGAACAGAAAGTCGGTGAGCTCACACGAGGAAGAAGAGAGGACGATGCCACGTTTGCCTTCCCTTCCTCGTATACCTTACGTGTGCGCACACCACCGACACACACGACGTTTGCTTAGCTTTGTAAGAAAAGGGGATTATGCGATGGAGCCAGCTTTATTGGATATGAAACTTATTATTGCGCACAGCTTTTGACGCTGCCTGCGAGCGGAGCTAGTTTTTTTTCCCATGTCTACTGCCGCTACTACGAATACTCCCGCTCTCTCTCTCTCTTGCTCTCGAGTGAAATTATAAATTAATAAAGGAGCGCCACTTTGAGCGAATTTATTGCTCGTGCGAACGCGAGTCAACAACAACGGCGTTTGGTTGTTGTTTCGTGCGAGTTCATTTTTCCGAGGTGCCGGTTGTAGTGTGCTGGGGGTGCTTTTGAAGTTTGCATGTTGCATTTTCGAGCGATCCATGGTAATTTCATTGTAGCAAGTTTGTGATGTAAACTTATTAAATTGAGTTTTCAAAAGATTTTGATAGAGCGAACTTTTTAACTGGATGAAAGATATATCCAGCAGAGATTTTTTATCAATTTTTTTCCAAATTCTATGTTTTTTACTGGAATCAGGAGGTATTTTTGAAAAGTTGGGTTTTTCAATGAATAGTGGTATAACGGGTGAGCTGTACTAACAAAACGTACGGAAAAAAAATTTTCAAAAGATAAAAATCACGCAACGAAAATAATAATCCTATCCTTTGATGGGAGCGGTATTGGCACATCCTACCTGTAACGCACACGCGATACAAAAATAAACCAGTCATGGGAGCCGATCGAGGTGCTGCCCTGTGACACGAGGCTTTGACGATTCATCGAGTCGTCGACGCGCGCGTGTACAGCGGCGCTTGTAAAATGTTATCTCTTTTTCGATTTTCCCCTCAGCCACCCCGGCGAGTTTGCTTTTTTTAGTTACACGTCCACTATTTATTCGAGACGCTATCGTTGGGGCTTGAATTTTTTTCACGAAGAATACGTTTACGACAACTTGAGCTAGCTGGGCTAGTCGTTGTCGTTTAATCGGGAAAGTTAGTACAGGTGAATGTATATTCTTAGCTTCCGGCTTGCGCGATTGTGTACTGTAATTTTACGAGCCCCAAATAGGTGTACGGACGAGTTGTTGATTGGATCAGTCATTTTTTCGCGACAGCAAGAATAATATACGTGCTTATTTTAGATTTTGATCTCTCATCGTCTGGGGTTAAATGAAAATAAACCCTCTACAACGGTGTTTTCCCCGTGTTGACATCCAGAAAACAAAATTACGACACAGTAATTTTTTTTTCTTTCTCGGGGAGGGAAAAAAACAGTAGACGAAAGTTTTGTTGCTAAGAGGAAAGGAAAAAAAAAAAAAAAGAATTAAACGCTGATGAAAATAAGGGCCAAATTGCCTTTGGACTTTTCCGATCGGGATGAATCGTGCCCAATTTCGGCGCGTACGTGTAGGCGGCCACGAGTATACTCGGAGACGAATAAGACCTCGAGACGCTGCCTCAATCTCCGCGTAATAGGGCATCGACGGAGGAGGAAAAAGAAGAAGTACGCGATCGATTTTACGTGGAAGCCGACTTTCTTTTGGTGGTAGGGGAAAGCCTAAATGACAGCGGTTGAAAGATTTGTGAAAAATTGCCTTTTTAAAACAAAACTACGAAGGAGGGTAAACAATAAAAGATTACAAAAAACAGATGTACGTAGAGGAAGAGAAAAGAAAAAAAGAACGGATAAAAACCCCTGGAAGCGAAAACTTGGCAACACTTGTGCGGGCGTGCTTAAAAGAATGCACCATGAATTTTCCATGGTACTTGGATTTCCGGGACTTGAAGGAAGGTGCACGCGCGCGGCGTACGTACACAGTAGGAGAAAAAGAGACACGTGCACTTTTCGCGAGATCGAATTTTGCGCCCTAGATGGAGGAAGGTGTTTTTTTTTGTGTACGAGGCAAGGGAAGAAATGGGACACATTCAAGGGAAAGCCGGAGCCAAGGGAAAAAGACGCCGGGAGATGAATAAAAGGGGAAAAATAGAATCCACACCCTCCTCGGTGCTCCGGAGCGTGTCTCGACTTTGTATCGCTGGCTCCGGACACTAGTTCGCAAAGGGATGGTTTGTTGCTTGCGTGAGGGGTGAGATTCAAGGGTTGAAATCTAGTTAAAATTACTGGCGAGTGGGTCGAGAGTTTGAATAAAATTCGGGACGAAAAATATTCCAAAAAATTCCAGCAATTCATTGTCGCCCAATTCTGGCAGAAGAAAAGCTGTTGAAAACAAAAATGAAAATCTCATCCCCCGAGGCTCGTCTAGACGCGAAAATTTTTCATCAATTTCCAAACCAATGGTTTTTATTTACGAACTTCGGGGCGTGTGTGAACAAAAAAAGAAAGAAAAAACGTGGCCCGAGAAAACGATTCCCCGGAGCTCTATCACGCCCGACGGGCAGCTGAAATTCGGGACGATGCCGGGGTGGCTGCGGGGGGTGGCGCGCGGACCAAGGAAATTTAGATTAGAAATATTCGCGCACGAGCGAGTCCCCCAATTCCGGACACGTTTTTCGCGCACGAGCAAAGATCTTTCCTCGGTCTCTGCGTCATCGATATACGCGGTCATTGTCCTTCCTCTGCTGTAAAAAATAAAACCAGATGGAGTGACAAAGGGTAAAAGATCCAAGGAGCTTTCTTCCATCCTCAGTGCCAAAGTGCGGGGCTGCCGTTTAGGCAGTAATAGAAAATAGTTTTTTTTTTTTTTTTTTTTTTCACGTTTCTTCGGCTGTTAATTTTTATCGAAACAGGTGCACCCTGTTTACAGCGATGAATAAAAATCGGCATTATTTCCGATCCAGTTTCCAAAGTCGTTTTTTTGATTAACGTCGATTAATAATAATTTAAGCTTTATTTCTGTAAACATCAATTAGCAAAAAACTCCCACTGGCAGGTATGATATTGCTCGAAGCTCAATTTATAAGTAATTTACACCCAATTGCATTATAATGGGAAAATATCAAAAAGTACTTTCAAACGCACTCAACAGTCAGTCGTGAATTTCATGTATTTAGGAATTCGGATGTTGACGTGATCCCACTTGGCCAGTCAAATTCATTAAATTACGAAAACATTGCAAGTCCAGCCAACAAATAAAGCACTAGAGTATTTATGGCTCACACGGTACACACTCCGAAAAAATATAATGGTACAGTTAAGACTTTGACTACTTCGCGACAAAAAAAAAGTAAAGTCACTCCTTATCCATTTCCGCGTAAGCGACAGCCCCTTGCCTCATTCCCGCACTGTACGACTCGTACGAAAGAGAAACGCATCGGAAAGGCCATAGTTTTTACGAAGGGTACCTACGTACAGTGACTCTCACCCTATTTAGAGCCACTTACCGCAGTGGCAGCGACGGCGGAAATTGACTTCTGCTAGTCAGGGCACGTGCTCAGAGTACGACCACCGCGACAACCAACCGACCAGAGCTCGCATGACGCCGCGAGTATTTTGCCCATAAGCTCGTAACCCTCCCTATTTCGTCAAAGGTTTTTCTTGTCCGCGCTCAAGAGAAAAGACAGGAGAGAGAGTTTTTTTGCTGCTCTCTCCGGCTGATACGCTTCAGTTTTCCTAATCCCATCGCGATGAGCGCGTAGCTAATGGTACGGAGTAACTTTTCGAGTCCTCTCCCCTCCGAGGGTGCAACTTCCGAGAGAGAGAGGGAGAGAGCCCGGCAATCGGGAATTGATGGATCGACGAGTTGCTGGAGCTTCCCCGGAAAACCAACTACGACTGTAAACTTGGTCGGAACTCAAAAGCGCAAACCTACATTCAGACGCACACTCGCGAGCGTCCTCGGTGATTTATTATTTATTTTCCGATCCCGGAAGTCGCTGCCACCGCCGCGGTATTTGTTCGGACGCGACTCGTTGTATTTACGCGGACGTGGATAACTTTGCGATAGTACTTCCCTCCCAACCCTTATTTTTTTCCCCTAAAGTGTATACAGCCCTAGGTTTTTTTTTCCCCGAGAGTAACGAACGATAAGCAACGACAGAGATGTCCCTGATTGACTGGACGCAGCGACACGTGAATCGATAAGCATCGGGCTTTCGGTGTGCACACTCGATGGGACGGAAAAATCGAGGCTCTTGGAAAGGGGAGCCACGAGTGCCGATGAAGCAGCTCACAAGACGGATATCCTCTGATGAACATCGTTCGATCGCGGAGCAATCAATATCATTTTCTCTTGGGTTGATAAACAAAAATCACTGTGTCTCTTGTTAACTCGGTTCTCATTGCTGGGAGTGGAACTTTGACCCACCGATTATTTATTCACCTCAAAGGCCTCAAGAACCCCCGACCGATGAAAACCTACTCGTATCGCGCGGCCTGCAAATCACCCTCATCGACAACAAATCTCTCTCTCGTTTTTTTTCTTCTTTTTTCTTCCCTTCCTCGTAGCTGCACTGGCCGACTAGCGTAGTAAAACAACAACAGCAGCAGCAGAAACCGCGCGCGGTAATTCCTGCATTAGGCAAGCCATTAATCGCACGGCCCGGAAAGCTTGTTTCTTGTCCTCCTCGTGCGCCCCGTAATTCCGCCTTAAAAGGCCAACCGAGGCAATGAATTTGTCGAGCAGCAGCTGAGCCACCGATACCAACCGCGAGGATGGAGCCGGCACCCGCTGGGGGTTGACAAAAAAAAACCAC